AGTTCTTATTCATGTTAAAACAATCCATACATATTAAATTAGCAAACTGTTCTTTTTTTCTTATATTTATTTGTTAATAAATGTCAAATATAAAATAATCAAAAAATAAAGAAAAAGTCAATATTCTTCAATTTTTTGTCGATCTTTTTCAATTTGTAAAACTTCTTTTTATTAAACAATTTGAATTTGAATCATCGGAAAAAGTTCGTTTAATAGAATTATTTGTTAATTGACCAAAAAAGAGATTTTTTTCATTTCTATTAATTAGAATATTATCTTGATTCTCATTTGAATTATTTATTTTTGATATTGTTGCAACAGTTGTTAAAAATTTACCATCTTCAGCTCAAGTTCGAGTCATTCGTACTGTATCATTTGCACCTAGAATTTATTTATTTAAAAAAAAAAGAAAAAAATTTCAATACGATTCATATGATTTCAATTCCATTAGATTTAATAAATTTTATAAATAATATTATTTTTTTATTAATTTATTCAATATGTTAATTACTTGTTTATTTGAATAGGTCACCTAACAACTATTTTACTAAATATTTATTTATTTCATATATTTACATAATATGAGAGAAAAAAAATGTTTGAATAAATAAATAAATTTTATTATTCAATTAAGTTAAATAAAATTGATCGAAATATAAAAATAGTTCTTATATATTTATTTAATTGTAGACAAATATTCTTATTTGTTTTATATTAAATAAAAGAGAAGAATCTAATAAATAAATTCTATGTCGATTAATTCAACTAAGATTTTATTTATTTGAATAGAATTTTTTAATGAAAATTTTTCAAATCTAATCAAAGATTTAATTCCAACGTAGATTTTATTAAAAAGGAAAATTCTATATCGAAAATTCAATTGAGAATTCAACTTCTGTTTTTTTCTTTTTGTTTTTTAATGAATTATCTTGTTAAGAATCGATATATCGTCTATATTTTAATTCGTTGTCGATTAAATAACTTGTATTTATATTTATTATTGTTGAATATAATAATTAATATATAGTTATCATGATCAATATTTATTAGAAATAATATTAAATAAATATTTAATTATACAATTGACAATAAATAATCAATAATAAAATAAAAAAACAAAGAAAAGAACAAAGGGTTACCTACTTGAATCGATGATGATAAGACATTCGATGTTGAATTTGTTTGAGTTTTATTTGATGAATAATTAATTGAAGATATATTTACGTTAACATGTCCTTATTTAATATTTTCAAATATTTTATTACTATAAGGAAGATCAATTAATTGATTTTCTTTTAAATTTTTATCTAGATTCGGAATGTTTAGAAATATTTCTTTATAAAAACTAGTTATATCACCAATTATATATCCTTTGATGGTGTTAAACATGAATTTTTATCTTGAAGAAAAAAAAAAGAATAAATATCTTTAATTGAATATAAATCTCATTTTCAACAAAATTATATTTGTTAATTGAACGAATAAAAACACTTCGAACTGTTTTTAATTTCGAACTAGGCACTCGGATTTATATACTTGAATTAATCGTGAACAAAATGATAATTGAGTATAATTTTCAAATAAATTTCAAATGATTCTTTCAAATTTATTTGATTGAGATCCATATAAACGATAACAAATATGATCAAGATGAGATAAGACATATTCATACAATTTAGTATATGGACTTAATTTAATATGTTTTTTATCAACAATTCCATCTGATTTACTTCGATTTATTGTCAATTTATTCTAAACAACAACATCGTCTGTTTTTTTTTCTTTTTATCCTATTAATTCCTATGATTTATTTTCATTATGAAAGTTAATTCAAATGATAAATGAAAAAATTTTTGTTTTCTAAAATTCTATTCAACTTTTTAGAAAAAAAAATGTTTTTTTTTTTAAACGAAATATTTCAAGAATTAAATTGATATTATATTAATAAAGATTTATTTTAATTAGTTAACTAAGACAAATAAAATGTCTTTGGTTTATTCTATAATAATATTTGTTTGAATAAAAATAAAAATCTTCGACAAGATATTTTACTTCGTTTTTTTTTTGTTAATTTGATTTTGAAAATTTTTGAGAAAAAAAAGATATTCATTGAATATTGAGAAAATCAATTAAACGAATTCAATATCAGAAGATAATCTTATTTATTGAAAATTTTCATTCAAAACAAAAACTTTTTCAACAAATCGATTTTAATCAAATTCAATCAACTTTTTTCTTTCTTAAATTAAATTTCAAGGGGTTCTACATCTAAAAATAAAGATTGACACCATAGGGAATTATCGTCATTGTTCTCTAATATCCTCTATAAAAAGTGTGCTCTAGAAAGAAAAACAAGTGTTCGCCGTAGACAGGCTTTAAAATGGTTATTATTTATCGAATTATTTTCATTGTTTGACAAGCTTTTAGAAAAGATCGACGACAATTATCATATTTCATAGAATTTCAAATGAGTTTATTTTCGTCGAGCTCGATTATGAAAAAGAAATAAATTCTTTTTAAATCGATGATATATATTATCAAATGATTTCTCATTGTTTTTTTTTTCATGATAAATATAGAAAAAAAGAAAAATAAAGTATTCTAAGAGATCAATTTTTCTTGTTACTAGATCGGACTAAATATGTCACTGTTTTTAAATATTTATGAACAAGATTCTTTCAAAATAAAAATTTTCATTAATGAAAATTTGGAAACAATTTTTTTTCCAATTAAAATAAATCATCTTCATTTGTTATGATTATTTGAAATTAGTGAAAAAAGATAAATATATATGTATAATATTGTATTAAATAAATCAAATAATAAATCTTACTGTTAATTGATCTGTTGTATTCGATTGAAATAATTTTCTTGATACATTTGTTTTATTTGATGATTGAATAAATATTGGAGTTAAATTATTTATTGTGTGATAAGAAATTATTTATATTTGATTGAATTGATGATATTTTTTTATATGATAAAATACCTTTTAATTTAATATCATTCTATAATGAGGATTTTGTTGAAAAAGTCATTGATGATAAATATTTAATAAATGATTTTGATTTACTTATTTGTGTACAAGTTTTAAAAAAAAAAATTGTATGATTTTTAAAAAGAAATACTCATCTAATGAATAAACATGTAATATCCAATTAAAATCATGATATTTATCCGAATGAGCATATAATACTAATAATTATTTAATATTAATTTACTAAAATAAATCCATTTATTTACTTATTTATCCATTTAAAAGAAAAATCGTTTATTGAAATGATTGTTGAATTTGTTGTGAATTAAATTCATTTGAAATTGATCTGTTTTTTTTTCCAATAGTTAAGATATTTTCAATAGAATAATAAAATAATTTTAATGATAAATCAAAATGTGATTTACATGATCGAGATGGATTTTCTTTTCGATTTATTTTATTAAAATTTTCTGTTAAATGAATATTCACATTCATTTAAACGTTCAACAAGATCATCTAAATTTTTAATAAACAAATTTTATTTTATTCTTTTTATCAAATCGAACATTATTTCTTTAGCTGACACGTTTTTTGAATAATATATTATATTAATTAACTAAATAATTCTAATTTTCATATTTCAAATATGAAAATCTAACTAATTACTATTAAAAAATGTTCGACAAAATAAAATCGTATATATGTATATCGAATATTATTTTAAGTTAAGGAGATGTTCAAAACAAAAAACTTATCATAAATCAATTCGATTCGATTTAAAATATTTCGAAATGAAAATAATATTTTAATCAAGAGATAATTTTTATTTTATTCAACAATTTGTTTCATAATAAAAGAAAACAAAAAATAATCTTAAAAAAGTCAAAATCTAAGTTAGTTCTTTTTTTAAAAGTCTTTAGATAAAATTTTAAATCTTATATATCATTCAACGATCATTTTAAATGTCAATATCATACAGATATTTAATTCAATATATTCTCATTTAACGAGAAAACAGCTTTAACCAGAAACAAAAATTTCTTTCTTAATTTAATTATTTTTCTTTATCAAAAAAGTATACTTAAAAAAACAAAAAGAATGTCTGATATAAATATAAATAAATATTTATTTGTTTAAGTTAATAAAAAAAAAAGATAGTGATGATAATTGTCTCTGTCTAAAATATAAATTTGAGAATATTTTTTATTAGTTGAAATAATAAAAATCTAAAATTGATTAATTGAAAAATCTTTTAACGAGTTCATTTATTTATCTCTGATTATCGATCGTCACGAAAATTATCTATCGGATTTATCTCTCGATTTCTAATAGAATTTTTTTTGTTTTGTAAGTCTCTTGTTTATTTTAATGCAAACTATTTATTTGATTTACATCTAATTCCAATCTATAATATCAATTCTCAACACACAATTATTATTAAAATATAGTTCAAATCTGATTGTTAATCCCGTTGATTGTCTCTTTCCTATACAAATCAATATGAGCCAAACAAATCTGACGGTTCTCTTATCATAGATTCTAACGTAACATTTACCTAAGTACTGTTCTCTGTCTATTACTGAAAGTAAACTAATCATAGTTGACTTCTAGAGCTAGTCGCTGCTATACTAATCAAAAAGGTGACATTGACAAATTGAAATAGGTTTCGAATTAGTTTCAATTGTCGAAAGGTCTTTTATTTTCAATGTATGAACGGGGAAAAACGCAAAATATAAAGTTAAAAGTTCGATTAAGAAAATCTTATGATGAAAAAACATGATAAAGTTTGAGAAAGAAAACAAACTTATTTTATGTTCGATTTGATAAAAAAAGTTTGTTGTTGTTGAACAATTGAATATAATAATTTAATTAATTGATTAGCTTGAGATATGGATGTTAAATATTGATTAAAAGAAATTGTTTGATAATCATTCGATGTAATATGTTGATTTGCTGTTAATGATGTTAGATTTTGAGAAGATTTTGAATATCGATTTTCATTTAATGAATTACATAAGTCATTTCATTGAAATTTATTTCCTAAAAAAATTCTTTCATCAATTATACAATTTGTTAAAACAATTTCATCATATTGACGATTTATATCACGAATTGTTTCCAAATAATTAAATTCATTTAAAAAATTTTCTTTTTTTTTATCAAGACGTTTAAATAAATCATTTTTTAAATGTTGTTCGATTATTGATCGACACGTATTCGATGAACAACAATACATCATACATAATTTATCGATTATACTTCCATCATTTGAACATAAATCATTTAAACAACAACTTTAACAAAAAAAAACAACACTTTTCTTCTTTTTTTTTATATCTTTTTATTCAATTTATTAGATTTAGTTTAATTAAATTATTTCGATTATTATATATTTATTCGTTTTGAATAAATAATTCAAATTAGTTTGATTTTGTTGACAACAAATATCGATTTCTAATATAATAAACAACTCGAACAATAGATATTCGATTTATGAAACTCTACAGTTAATCTATCATCTTTTCAACGAAACATTTTCCATAGTTTAATTAAGAAAAAACAAGTAGAATAGATTGAATAACTCGTTTAATATGATGAAATATAATTTCTAATATGAATACAATCATTATTTGTAAATCTTGGTTATAATTATATTATTTATAAATGATTATTAATCGATTGTTCATAGTTATAATTATAATATCGTTTAAACGATTAAATTTCAAAACATGATTTGAAATAATCGTTAATCATATTCGATTATTTACGTTTTCATCGATTAATAATCATATTGACAAGAAAATTGGTTTTTTTTCTAAGTTATCGATAGATATATATATGTGTTCGATAAAAAAAAATATCTGAAATGATTTTTATTTAATAATATATTGATAAATCTCGAAATAAAATATTTAATTAAATTTAATTCTATATCGAACAATCGAAAATTGAATTTGTTTCAGATCTTATTTCAAAGACTTTTAAATAAAATAAACAAAAAAAATCTCTTAAGAAATCTTCATTTGATAAGAAGTGAAAAAGAAAATTTTTAACTGAAAAAAACTAAAATAAAAAATGATATATATAAATAAAATCTTCTAATAGAATGTTACCTTTAAGTATATAATCTAATTTGGCTAATTTGACATAATCATAAATAAAAGAAAAAAACTAGAAATAAGTAAATGAAATGAAGCAATCAGATTATTGATAGTTGATGGATAAATTGTTTTAGCTAATGCATATATTGTCCATATAAGTGAATATAAATCTTGATGTGAACATTTATTTTATTTATTTTTTGTATTTAATTTAGGATTTATTTGATTTGATGTTCTTTTGTATTGATTTTCACCAAATATTTCAATAAATATTTTTGTATATTTTTCAAATATAATTGATGATATATTAAAAACATGTTCAACACTTGACCGATTTCTTTATGTAATTTATCAAAAAAAAAACAAATAGTTCTAAATGATTAGCACTTTTTAAATAAACGTGATATTGATATTGGATTATTCTGATTTGTTGTTGGATGTTTATATCTTGTACATGATACATATAATGAACTAGCTAACCAATGTAGTTGATCACCTACTAAAACATAATGTTTACAAATATGTTCATATGAATATCATGCATCTAACTTTGTTTCCATATCCATATTTAAATCAAGACATGATTTTGAATATAATATTTCAATTGATTCATCATCTTTATTTGACATTTTAGTTTTTTTTTTTTTTTGTTCTAAAATAATAAAAAAAACAAAATGATTGACATTGGGTGTGGGTATGGAGTGTGGAGGTGAGATGACACTGAAGAGAGCCACCTCAACGCCTACTCAGGATGTGAGTGTGGGTGTGAATCTGCATCTAGGCCTGTGTGTTGGTATTACGTTCACTCACACCCAAGATAGAGACGAAATGTTTTTGTTTTGCTGATTCATAAAGTGTGCAACAAACAAATATCCATGTTTCCATTCATTTACGCAAATTGAAAAAGAATCAGGAGGTCATCACTATCATCCTCATTATCATTAAAATGGACAAGAAAAATTTTAAACCATATGCTAGTGGCACATCGTCCTCTACGACAAGTAAGCCAAATAAGCCATTCACAGCTGCAGCACCAACGATAGTTGTGAGTAGAAGAGCTGGGTGTGGGTATGAGTGTCTTTTTTTGTTGAACATCCACATATACACCCTATTAGAGCTGTAACAGTATCAAGAAGCGATGAATATTTATGTGTCTATTTTTATCTACATAAAACTGTGCATGGGTATAAATAGAAAGTTTTTTTTTGTTTAATTTGGAAGAAGTCGATGACCATATAAAGGTTATACTTTCAATAATAAGTTGTTTCGTTGCAATAGGATTGTTATCAGTGACTATTATGATCACATCAACGATGAATCTCTTTCTTTATCATCAGCTATCGTTGTTTGGCATCAAATAAAATCACTTAGTATTATACTCAACCATTCAATTCAACTCATCTTTGTCTTTTTGCAAACGACTAATCTACGTACTCTGGAACTGCATTATAGATCAGAATATGATACTAAAAGTTATTTGAAAGAGGAAAATTTAATGTATCTATTCGATAATATTGCTTTGTGCAGAATGCTCATGTCAAATGGCTTACGATAACTCAATCTTTTTCCTGTGTCGTGACAACCAAATTTGGTAAATATTGCCTATTCAATTGTCGAGCAACTTCCTCATTTGCAAGTCATTGAAGTATCACATTTACTTATCAACGATCTTCCGAAATTAAAATTTCTTACTATTAATGACGAATATGAATATGATCAACTTTATGAGAAACAATTGCATGATCTGCAAAGTTCAAATACTCATTCTTTTCGAACAGAAATTCGTAACACAATAGATGAGGATACACTTTTTGTATGATTATAATAAAATGAAACTGCTAATATTTCTTTATTTCTTTGTACTTAGACTTGTTTTTGTGAAAGAATTATAAGAAGTTTTCAACATGAATAAAGCAAAACTTTTTAAATTTTGTTTCGTAAGTTAAATCAGATGAAAAGATCTTCTGTGTTTGATATTAAATTATACTAATATTCTTTATTAGTTGTACAATAGAATGTATACAAAAATTACTCCTACATGAAAACAATAACATTAATATTTGACCAAAAGATATTTTTTATTATTAATAATCAATTTATTTCCAGTTACATTTTGACACCAAACGCTATTTTAACTCCTCTTCCCTTTATGATCTTGTTCTATTTCCTTTCTCACATATAACTGACCGAAAATAAACAACTTGAAATATATTCTATTTTTGAATATTCTTACAATAAATAATTATATTATTTCAAATTTATCCTTATATTAATATTTTAAAAGTTAAAACTTATTACAACATTTCATTGTTCAATAACAGTAACATATTTAAACTAGACCTCCACTCAAACTAAGCACAAGTAGAAAAGACGCCTGACTGTAGAATTTTCATAATCCTCATATATGTTCATAGTTATTTTTTAAAATCTAATTTATCTATATTAATAAATGAAGTTGAACATTGATTGATAACGAATATCAATTGCATATCCCTTTATTAGAACATTATTGTTGTTTTTATTTTGTATATATAGTAAATCTTCGAGACTCTTTCATGGATAAAGTTAATTTATACAAAACGATAATTAACGTGTATATGCATATAAGATACGAGATATCAATGGTCACTAAAATACTAAGTCATTTAATTACCATTTATTTTTGTTCTTGCATCTTCCGCACGGGTGCCAAAGAAAAATGAATTTCAGATGTGCCCTACGCACATTCTCACGAGTTTGACAAGCTGTTTTGTGGGATGTGGGTGAATCTCTTCTTCTTTCTGACCTCATCCAAACTCACCCACACCAAAATCAGTTTTTTCAATGTAGAAACTCTCAGTTACAGCTGATAGTTTGATGTAAAAAACCTTACAAGCATTTGTCTCATTATACCATTTTGATGTAGACAAACATATATGACAAGTTAATCTAAGAAGACAATGAATTTATAAACTGTTCATTGATTGAAATATATAATTTTGTAGAATACATCAATCTAGTCCAATGTTATTTTCCTATCGTACGAATCTTCAATGACTAATTTCATCTTACATTTCATTGAGAAGAATTTTTTTCATAACAGCTGTATGCGTTTTTATCCGAAAAGGTTTAATACAATATTTGTCGTTTCAATGGAATAATATTCATCATATTAGCTGATTATGATTTTAATTCTGTAACATTCTTTATATTCCTAAAGGTATTCATATTGACAATCTTATGTTTGAAAAGTTTCCTGTTTTGAAATTTTGTTGTCTCATATCCTACTTTCTTGGATATATTTTTCGACGACTTTTGCAGCTTTAATTAAAACTATCTTAGTGTTCTTTTTAAAATTCAATAGAAGATGCTAGATAAATGAATATTATTCCATTGAAATGATAAAGTCTCGCATAAAACACGTGCAGAGGTGAAAGACATACTGATGTTATGAAAAACAATTTTTCTCAAAAATATAAGATAAAATTATTCACTCAAAATTGATAATATGAATGCAATAGAGAAAAATATATCTTTTGTAGAACTTTAAAAGATCTATGAAAAAAGAAATAGAGGAGGCAGATCAAACAAATTGATTCAGTCATCTATAGATAATCAGATCAAAGTGAAAGTTTTGTAAATCTCCTAACTTTCTTCTTAACTGATGATTTACTTCGAAAATATTGATATCAAATGCTATCAAAATTTGATGCTTTTCTTTAACTAAAAAGTAATTGACTAAAGACAATAGTTCCTTGAAAAGAGCAACAACAATTATATTCGATATGAAAAGATAAAGGCATGCGTAGTCTGTGGAACTATGAGTCTTCTTAAAAAGACAACAGTTGGCGAAATTAACTTTATCACTCACTGGACTTATCTCAATGTACGAGGAAACAGTAGTTAAGAAAAAACACATTTTTTTATATGAGCACATAAGTAAATTTATAAAAATCATGATTTTTCAGAAGAATTTGAACAGTTTGTTCAAGATTTTTATTGATAAATTTACTAACAATCAAAGAATTTGCGTATAAATACCACATTGTATGGAAATAACTATTAAGGCTAATGATTCAAATGTTTCTTTGACTAGCGAATACTTGAGTACGAGTTAACAGGCATGTTTTTTTTTTGTTTTTGTTTTCAATGCACAGCTTTTAAAACAATCAATGACATAACTATTAACCACTTCTACCAGCGTTCTGCAAGATTTCAGCATCATCATTTTAAAGATCGTGGCCTTGAAAAGTTCTCTGTTTCTTTTGAATAACTTTTGAAAAATTTATATTCCAATTGAATTTCGTCGATGGCGAATGCCTAAGAAAGGATGTCTTTACAAGAGTTCAAGAAATGACATATTGGAGAAAATCAGGTAATCTTATATTACAATAAAATAGACTTTGCTGACATTAAATGTGTGACAATAAAATCGAATGATCGAGTTTATGATCCTGATGATTCTTAAAAGTAGATATCAATGACAATTATTAGCTAGAAAAATGTGAATGAGATTGATTGATCTATTCAGAAGAGACAGACAATGAACTGTAACTGTGGAAAAATATTTTCTTAATCTAGAAGATTTGCAACGACTTGCTTGTTGAAACAAAACACAACCTAAATTGATAATTGTCCCAAAATCCAAAAAAAAAAAGAAACACTTCTCCAGAAGAAAAAGTGAAGAATACAACGAATTCCTAGACAATAGAATGTATGGCTTTGTAGATGAACCGAAAGCTCACACCTTATTGCATATATTTCTGTTTAAAATTAAATTTTACGAGAAAAATTTTTTTTTATTTTATTTCGTCACATGTGTGCAAAGTTTACTGTGTCAACAACAAAAAAAATATTTGAAATAAAGTTAAATAAGTTAGAACACAAAATATAAATCACGAAAGTAGATTGTGAGAAAAACAGTTTTGAAGCTAATCGTCTCTCCTATTCTCAGTAATGAAAATAGAACAGGATTCAACATCATACTATTCATTGAAACAACAACTTCTTCCATAAACAGATATTAGTAATTTTGAAAAAATGAATAAATATAGATAGGCATATGAAAAAAAAATGATTAGCTAAGATATAATTATTTTTGTAAAGTTGTGATGTTATATGTGATTATCAAACGATGTTCGATGGAATATTTGGCAAAGCGATCAATTTACATTTATAAACATTTACCAATAATCCAGAAATAAATTTAAAATAAAATCTAAATATGTTTGAAGTATTCTAGAATGTGTTTACAAGCCTTTTATTATCTTTAGAATGTAACAGGAATATGATGCGATCATTTTCTTACAGAATATTCTTTAGTGATGATTGGATTTTCGTTATTTATGATTTATTTTTTCTGAAGTCAAGCATTTTGATGATTGTATTGTTGAGTTTTAACTTATGGTTTTCATTAAAAAAATTCTCAGAAATTTAAAATCTAAAATAATTTTACAGGATAATACCGCGCTTGTCAGGCATCGAACTGAACTCGAACCTGTGGAAGTTGGTTTGATTCCTTTTCTGATAGTTATCGTTAAATACTGTCAATGATGAATTGCTTTTTTACATTAAAATACTCAATTTTTTTCTTTATTGTGAAATTTCTTTTGTATTGATAATAAAATAATAAAAAATATGAATAATAAATCAAGAAAAAAGAATTGTTATTTGAATAAAAAGAAACAATGGTGTAGTACGAGACTTTTTGAATTTATCATTTTCAATGAACTTTCAGAAAACAGTTCAATAGGATGAAGTATGATAGCTGCATTTTACATATAATCTACTAAACCAAAACGATTCAAAGATTGTAGATGTGATTAAACAGAATATCAACATCTATTCTCACATTCTTCTTGATATTATTAAAAGTACTGGTTATAAATGCAAGTTTTAATCCAGATGTTGTGCAACTTTCTCTTAAACTCTAAGGACATGGTTTAAAAAAGTCTTCGTTAAAACTTCAATGGCTAAAATATGTTTAATGGATACATGTAATCGACTTATTTACTAGTTAAATCAATGATTGAAATCATAATAAAACATACGATATGAAATGTAAATCAATAAGCCAAACAGAAATTAGAGCACAAAATAAATGACAATCTATTCTAATTGGTTTAGAAAATTTAGATATGATTGCTATAATAAAGACCGATTCTAGTAAAAAGAAAAAAAGTAAATAAATTAATTCTTGTTATTATGTTTCCATTTTATGAATTGATATTTTTAGTCTTTATTGAAGGTGTGGGTATGGATGACAGAGAGAGAGAGAGAGAGTATATGATTCATCAACATATCCAAACAACATCTACATCCACACCGTATTTTGAATGTGTTCAAGTAAATCAGCAAATAATTTTTCTGGATTCGATTCATTTATGAATGCTTGTTCAAATTAACGTCAATGTTCAATATTCGTTAACTAAAATAAATAAAATAGATTTTGCTTTTTTGTTGATATAATTGATATTTGCAGAGACTATTTTCGATCAGCAATAAGAAATAAACGATTGCCTGATTCTTCGAAACGAACACTGAAACGTGATAACATCAATAAAAACCTAAAAAAATAAAATATATACTATATTATCAATGAAAATTCATTTTGACATTTCATGACGAAATTTATATGATTTTGTATTGATCGTCATTCCTTCGGATTGAAATAAAGAGTTTTTGTTTTTCATTAATGTTTTACTATTTATCTTTTCCAAATAAATTTTAATTGTATGTGTAAGTCTTGATAATTTTTAAAAAGAAAACTAGGAAGAATATTTAACCATAGGCAGAATTTTACTCATAAGATGGTGTGGGTGTGGATATCATTATAGGTCTTGTCTTCATCCATACCCACACCCTGTGATAGACATGCACTTAACATAAGACAAGTTAACTCCCATATAGCCATACATAGTGATTTTTCTTTGTGTAATATTTGTCATTGATAATAAAGTCCATTCATTAACTTTAGCTGAATAACGGGCATTAATTAAAGCACGAAAAAAAAAAACTAATGTGTTCAAGTAATAATGATAAAGGACGTAATAAAAGTAATGCTTCATATGCTAATGTTGATGATTGTTTTGTATGTGCATATAATTCTTCAACAAGTTCAATAAGAATATTATCTGATGATGATATTATTGATGAACTAGCAATTATTGTTTGTTCTTTATTAACATGTTCATTATTTAATGAATTTGTATTTTTATTTGGTCATTGTAATAATGTATAAATACGTATTAACACCATATATCATTTTTGGGATATTGAGCAACTATTAAAAGTTTTTCAAGACTAATTGATATAAATTTTTGTGTTAAATTATCATCATTAATTAATGATAATAAAATATCATATGAATTTAAATCAACTTCATGAATAAACATGATGCATATGCATGAGTTTTAGTTATTAATTTATAATTACGTTCAATTAAATTTATATATAATTCATTATATTCTTTTGTTGTTTGTCCAAGTAATATACTAGATTTACATAAATTATAACTTATTAAGGATATTATTAAATCATCTTCATCAAACCATGTACAAATAAATCAGATAGATATATAATTGAACCTATTAATTTATATTACATATATTTCAATTAGAATTTGTAATGATAATGTTTAATCAAAACCATGATGCAAAAATAATCGATCAAATAAACTTTAAATTATATATTTTTAAAGATGGATGCCAGAAAAGAAAATGTTCATACTCTAATTTTTTGATTGATAGAATTTATTTGAAATTATTGATATAAGCTTTTATTTCTATGAAATAAGATAGTTTGCATGTATTATATATCAAATCAAAGTCAGAGAAACACTAGACTTTCTGTTTGATGAAATTAATAATTTAGCAATGAATTTATCTTTCTTTTAACTTAGAGTTCTATTTGTCGATTATTAAAACATATGTGAGACTTACATTAACTGATAATGGTAATGTATTATTACTTTGGATTGATGTTAATATAGTATCATATGAAAGTTGTCCATAGGATAATAAATCACGTCTACCTAACCGTTCAATATTTGTAAATAAATTACTTGAACTTGTATCTAATATTGAACGTGTTTGCATATATTGACCACCAATAAAAAAAAGAACAGATAAAATCTAGTTTATTTTTCAATCTTATTATCATCGTGTTGCATTTGTTTCTAAAGTTTCTTCTTTTTTTTTATAAATTATTTGTTGTTTGTTTATATTCATCATTAGATTGATTTGTGATGAATTAATTGAAGCTAAAATGAAGCCTATATTTCTTGAAATTGTATTCTTAATAATCAACCAACTTCAAAATTGTCTTTATATAAATATTGTTAAACAAAATAATAATATAGCTATACAATGTAAATCATGTCAATAAATATATGATATATATATATATTTAATTTTTTTTTTGTTAAATAATAAAGATGATCTTTTATCTGGTTCAATTAAATTTAAATATGATTATAATATATTTGATAGAGTTAAACCATGTCGTTGATAAATATATTCAAATATTGATAATAGTATTTTCGATAATGTACAACATGATATTATTTGATCTGTTTCACAACTAAGAAATGATGTTTTTTTTTGAAATATATTTATATAAATTATTTCTGATATAAATATTATAAAACGTAATAAATCATGTATATCACCTGTTGAAAATTGACATGTTAATTCAACATGATTTTGTACTTTATCAAAATATATTGATATAGAATCTATGAATACGATTGAATATGGTTGATTATTAGAAGCATGATAAAAGACTTTTCTCATAAATTGTATTAGGTGTTGTTTCAATGTCATTTTAATTTGTTTCATTTGATATAACTATACAAAATCCAAGAAAAACAAAAAAAGAACAGATTTATATTGTTTCTTATTTTCTCAAATCAATTTTCATTTACTATAAGAATCATCCTAAAAATTTAATGCTGTGGAAAAAATCCAAGACGTTTTCGGAGTTCACGAGTTCAAACTTATAGAAAGTTTATCGAAATTCTCGAATGCAATTTATTTCGAAATATAATATTAGAAAGACGTCGTTTTCTTTAATTGTAATAGTACAAATAGCACGACTGAGAATTTGATCAATAAGATTCGAGAGGAATTATTCGATCATTGTACTAATGTAGCTTAAATGCTTTCCTTTACGATTTGTATTACGTGAAATTCTGCATATTTTCTATTTCAAAATATTTTTTGAAATTTTGAATTATTCAAAAGTCTCATCTATTACTAGCACATAAACAATGTCAAAGTAAAAACAAAAACATTTCTTTTAATTGAATTAAAATTTTTATTATACATATATATATTTATTTCGATAAATTAAACTAAAATATACTGGTGACATCATTAATGGTAATCATTTTTTATAAGTTATATTTTTAAGCATTTGTGCATAAATTTTTCTTGTTATATCCATAGGATAATTAAGATTATTAAAATCTTCTTTAATAATATCAATTGATGTTGTTACTGATAATATTTATAAAAGTTATGGTATATATTTAGGTCATAATTGTTTATTTAATGGTAATGGAAGGAATTGTTCAACTAATAAAACTAATAGAAGACCACTTTCATCTAAATGTATTCTTTCACAAAAAAAATAAATGACTTGCAACTGATGTATGATGTATAAGATAAAATAAAAAATAATAATAATAATTGATAATGTGTTGTTATTGATGTTAAATGTTCAACATATAATTCATGATGATGATGGTATTAATATCGACAATCACCATGCTTATTGTATATAATCAAGTATAGTCAGAATATGTATCCATTGTAATAATAGTGAGATATAAAATGATGATCATAATAATTTAAAACATTCAAATAAAATAGTTAAATATGAAAATGTCTCAAGACAATGTACAGTTTCATCATGAATTCATAATTGATGAAAATCATTTACAATTGTTCGAAATTGTTTAACTAAAATAAAATTATAGATTTTATATAAGCATAGGAATTTTAACGTCAAACTTATTTCACTAGGTCATTAGTAATTAATGAATTGCAGGAATGTTTTATCATCAAATTAATGGGTGATATGTACATAAAGATAATCGGATACAAGAGAAACTAATGTCATATTGATTTGACCACATAATTGTCGAGTATTAGTTAAAATTCGTAATATTACGTCATGTAAAATTCGAAGAACAGCTCTGAAAACAAAAACGAGAATAATACTTGTTAAATTATAAATAAAATCATTTCGAATACTTACGCACTAAAAGTTTCATCTCGTGTTCCATTAACTGATAATAAAACATCATTCTATCGTGTTAATATAGCATCTTCAGTTAAATTTTCTACAAGACATCGAAATATTATATTTATATTGATTAACTATCGATTTGTAGATTGACAATTGACATTCTAAAAAAAAGTTTTGAACTACAGGAAAATTTTATAAATAAAAACAACGGACATTTCTATTCACTAATGCTCGAAAAGCAACATCAAATAGTGTTAATTGTGTGGAATAAATATCCAAAAGTGATTGATTCTATTTGAACAAAAAAAAGTAACGTAAAATCAGAGACTATTAAAAGAAAAATAACCTGAGATTGTAAATGAGCAAGAAGTAAATCGACAATTTGTCGTGAAAGACGTTTTCATTTATCATCTTCATTTCGAACACTATCAATAATAACTGTGAACAATCGTAAAGCCTATAACAATATAGATTCTATTATTATTTTTTCAGTACATACACATGATATGAAAAGATACTTTTATTTATAATAATTAAGATGCCTAGTTTTCCCTCAAACTCAGATACATAACAACAAGATGATTATTTTCAGATCATCGATTCGTTGAAGTGTGGGTGTGGGTTCAATCGAGGAGAAAAATTACATCTACACACTCACACTCTCTCATTTAATAAAACGTTTTAGGAATTTTAATTATTCGCATAAGTCGAACAAGAAAAAAAATCATATAAAACTGCTTTTAATGCTGTCAAAGCTAAATAAAGAATTTTAATGATAATTTCATTTTCTCGAAAATGTTTTTTATTGCTTCCTACCATGTGTTTCAGGTTCATGTCCACTTGCTAATAATGAATCATAATGTTTTATTAAATCCTGTATGTTAATAACTCGTTTTGAATGAAGTGTATCATGTGATAACATAACAAGAAATTCAGCAATATAAAAAATAAAATGCTATTTAAAAATAAACGAAACGATTAGAAATGCAACGAATTTCATCAGCTTCTAACTAACCATAATTAACACTAATTAAAAGTAATTGAACAAGTAAATCGAGTACAGCAGCTTGACAATCACTTTCATTTGTATATTAATATATTTTTTAAGACTAATTTTTTAGTTCAATAAAAACTAAAATGGAAAAGAAAAAAACAGAATAGATCAAATTCGTTTTTTTGTTTATTTTACTCTCGTATTGCACTATTTATACTTGATGCATAACATGAACCAAATAAAATAAATTATCGATTGTCGAATATTTATTGTATGAATATAAGTTAAAGAATTATTTAATGATACTTGTGAAGAAACAGTTGAAGATTTAATAAAAACTAAATTAAAAGAATATTTTTAAATGAATGTTGTGTTAACAGAAAAAAATGATTTTCAAATTTCGAATTGAT